GTAGTGGTGTTGTTCAGTACAGTCAGATATGATAAACTACTCTCTTTCCCTGGAATATCCAATCTGTTTGAAATTCAGTGGGGGCCCTCATGTTTGCATGCATGCAGCTCTCCTTCCTGTTTGCATAACCAGCAGCAGCTTCATTTCTTCAGGGTAAATCTATTAAGGAAAATCCTCTAGAGACTTTTCGAGGGATTATTCCCTTTAAATGCAGATGACAGGAGCTGATAAGGCACAAGAAAGCAAATTTTCCTCTTTAACAGTTTTATTAACACCAGCAACAGAAACAAAAATAGCTAGAAAACATTGCAAATGGAATAAGAGGTGCGATTTAAAGCATGCTTAGAAAATAGCATTGCTCTATAAAAATGATTTGGTTTTGTTTCCTTTCCATCTCTGTGAAAATAGATGCCTTATGATCAGAATGCCACTTCCAAGACTATAGGTATGACCAGGCTGTTTTACAGCAAGAAAGATGGAATCTAACTTGCTTCTGACATCTATGCGGTTATGCTTAATTTAACTTAACTTTTTGGTCAAATCTACAAGTTCTAATGGGTTAAATGATAAAGTATTTTTCACAGACTAGGAGAACTTGATTAATGACCTGCCAATGGCAGTAGGTCTGGGGCCCTGATGGCAAACCTATGGCATGCGTGCTGGAAGTGGCATGAAGAGCCATCTCTGCCAGAATGTGAGCCGGCGCCCCAGATCAGGTCCACTGCGCCTGCACACGCGCTTCCCGCCAGCCAGCTAATTGTCGGGTATCTGCCATGCATGCGCAAGGGTGGGGCACACATGGGAGATGCGCATGCCTGTGCAGAGGTGTGGGGTTCGTGGGGGGGGGGTCACACACGTGTATGGGGTCATGCGATGACGAAAAGGTTAGCCATCACTGGTCTGGGTTTATTATATATATTCCATTTTTAAGATATTTGCTTAAGTTATAGTATTGAAGGACCGCCAATAAAGGAGGAGGCCCCATTAACCAGGGAATTCTGGTGGTGGGGTCCAGGAGAAGAGATTTCTCTGACATTGTGCCTGCCCTTTAGAATATCTTACCTTCCTCCCCCCTGGAGTGAGGTTAGCTCCCACCATTCTTACCTTCTGTAAGAGCTTAAAGATTCCAGCAGAGGGGTTTCACATTGGAGGTGGTTGATAAATTAACAACCGACCCCACCCTCCCTTCTCATCAAAACGCCTCTCCCCTCATCTTTTTAGCTAGGTTGTTTTTGTAGTATTGTATTTACATTATAAACAATACAGTTTTATCTTTTAATATTGTAAGCTGCCCAGAGTTACCTTCTGGCAAAACGGACAGCTAATAAATTTTACAAATAAATAAATAAATAAACATTACTACAAAAATTAAATTAGAGGTTTGCTACAAAAATTACATTAGAGGTGAGGAATGTTTTCTCACATTCGGCGGTGCTTTATTTTTTTTTTCCAAATTAGTTTTCAAATTTATATAGCCTCCTGTGTCTCAAAACAAGTAACTCTGGGCAGAGTACAACAGTTAATACACAAAATCTCTGAAAACATAGGAATCTATCATGTCACCAAGAAAATAGACTTGGTACAGAATTATGGAATGCAAACATATTATTCAGCTCAATTTCTTAACAAATATTAGAGTTTTCTTCCTGTTCCATGTACATTATATTTTTTCACTGTGTAGTCCTTGGAATGGTCAGGATTAATAAGAATATTTATAATGTTACTTAACTTTAGCAGTCTCTTTACTTTTAAACAAATTGTCAAAAGTTGTAAAGCTGCTAAATGAAAAGTTATAGTGCCTTAGACATTAATTATATGACTCATTCAGTCTGATTTCTAAAGCTCAAGCTTCAACCCTTTAGATTTAAGATAAAAAATGGCTCCAACCATTTTCAGTAATGCTGAAGTGCACATTCATGGAAACATTAAATAAACATTTGCTCTTGAGTTCCATGTTATCTATGTAATAGTAATGAGCTAGAATGTTTCAGTGTTGATGGATAAAAGATTATCTATTAAGTATTGCTGTGTCATAGATGCACCTGCAAAAAGTGTTACTCCCTCACAATGAGTGAGGTTTGAACCAGATTTTTGAATTGTGATATTCTTAGCAATGTCACTTTTTCCTGCTTCTACCCATGGTTCCATTATTTTTTTAATCCATATTCTTCAAATTAATAATAAATAATTCAGTATTTAAACACCTTTTTAATTAGTCTTTAGCTACATTGCTGGTCTAAATGGATATATGCTAAACTTGCCAAAAGTGTTTAAGTGAGTATAGCATCTTGATTTTCAGTGCTGTGATTCAAAAGAGATCTAAAAAAGAGAGAGAGAGATTTGCAGAGGTAGATTTCTTACAGTGTATTCCTGCATTGAAGTTTTATATACAGTTTCAAATATGTATAAAATGATCATGGGGACACAGGAGAAAAAAGATACATGTATATCTTGGATAAAGATTTCCTTAGTTTAAACTTGTAATCGAAAGGCCTCAGAAACCATAGCAAATGGATGAAATCTGTGACTTTACTGCCACTAGCTTTGTAGGTTCAAACACAACTCCATCCTACAATCATATTGATTTAGAGAAATTTATTTGGGCCCCACATAGTAACTTCAAAGACCTTTATGGCTTGGAGCTGAGTTATTTATGAGAATATCTCTCCCCTGTGGTATCTACCATCCCATGAGATTTAGTAGGAGAGGCATGCTTTGCGTAATGTATTTTCGGTCTGACATTATCCCCCCCCCTTGCATCCCTCTGGGTTCAACTGTGTTGTGTGGGTAATGCATTTTCTCTCAGAAAGAGGCATTGCTCCTTTTTCTTCAAGATAGCTGAGCAGTAGAGGAACTCCCTGAAACAGCTTGCTGAGACTTGATGAACCAAGCAGCAATACCTCAGCTTAAGCATGCCTGAAAAATGAAAATACCTCTGCTAGATGGTTGCATCTGTTAAAAAAAAAAAAAGGCCAGTTAATAAATAAGCATCTGGAAACTAGCCCAGATTTTTTGTTTTAGACAAACACACAGAATAATTCAAGTAGTTTGCCCAAAGGTCAAAAGAATTACTGGGCTGTTTATTTTCTGATCAGTTGGTAAGTCAAAAACAAACATCCAAAAAGCACAACTTTTCATTAAAAAAAAAAAAAGAGAGCAACTCAGATGCCACCACTCTAACATACTTATTTTTCAGGTAGTGTGATGGGCATCACAGATGCTTTTGACCATCAGAATTGTTCATAATGTACAATGAAAGCAATTACTGTGAAAATCCAATAACACCTAGGAAAAACTGGCATTTTCTTTTCAAGCAATTGTATCAGAAACGTGGCACAGTTTGTGACTAAACATATTTTCTTTTCAGATGTGAGTAACATAAATGTGTTTTCTCATATCAGGATCTAAAAGCATTTATTATTTCCCCCACTTTTGCCCTAAAATTAGATAGTCTTGAGATACATCTTTCACAAAGCCACAGATGTGCCCAATCTCAAAAGGCATGGGCAGTTATATTGCTGAAAATGGCTACCTGTACCTCCTCTGTTGTTGAAGGCCAATACAGGAAGATTCCCCACCTGGATAACCAATGTCCTGTGACTCTAGTCACACAGAAACAACAGAGCATGTGCTTTATCAGGGCCTGTACTGCAGAGACAATTGTATTAGCCTCCTCTCACCATTATTGCATAAAGATTCAGGGCACGCAGGACAATTTTCTACCTCCTTGCTGCTTTCAGGCACTAATTTGGTTATCACCTACTGGAACCATGTCACCAGATTCTGTGCAGCAGTGTTTTCATATCCATCAGATGATGATATGTGCCATAAACTAATCTTAATGAGCATCCAACTCATCATAGTGTTCTATAGTGTGATAGATTTGGTCTGCCACGTCCTAACCTTTAGGCTAACACGCATCTAATTCTTCTACCCCTCCTTATTTTATACTTTTGTTTTTATATATACCTTTTGTTTTGTGTCTTTTAGGTTTGTATTACTGTTATTGTTTTTAGAGTCTGCTGTATTCTCTATGCTTAATGACTGGGCCCTGCCCTGCTTACGCTGGTCTTTGATCATCATAAAGATTTGATTTGACTGCCTCCTTCAAGACAAAAGATTGATTCCTTTTCATTTAAAATTATATCGGCTGCTGTTTTATGAGCTAGGCAACAGCCTCAAGAAAAGAGTTTCCTTTAAAGCAAATCGAAGAAGTGCAAATAGTGCTTGTATGAAAGCACATCCCTAGGCTTTTTAAACATCTTTGACTGAGTCTCTGGTTGGAAGTTATGGGTAGTCCTCGACTTACAACAGTTCATTTAATGATGTTTAAAGTTACAATGGCACTGGAAAAAAGTGACTTATGACAATTTTTCACACTTACGACCATTGCAGCATTCTGCATGGTCGCATGATCAAAATTCAGGCGCACGACAACCGTTTCATATTTATGATGGCTGCAGTGTGCCAGGGTCACATGACCCCCTTTTGCAACCTTCTGACAAGGAAAGTCAGTGGGGAGGCCAGAGTCATTTAATGACCTTGCTACTAACTTAACAACTACAGTGGTTCACTTAACAGCTGTATCAAGAAAGGTCCTAAAATGGGGCAAAGTTTACTTAACAACTGTTTTGCTTAGCAACAGAAATTTTGGGCTCAATTGTGGTCGTAAGTTGATGACTACCTGTACTTAAATTTTTATTAATTTTTCCCTTCATATTTATGAGCAGAACCCTCATTTCCTATTTCAGTAATTGCTCTCAATTTTCATTTGTACGCTATTGAGTGAAAGTATGCAATTGAGTTATTTGAATTGAAAGTATGCAAGGGAGAACATAAGTTTCAAAAAAAGTCCATCAGACTGGTGAATTTATTTGAGGAAGAATGTCCATTCAGGAAACAATAGCAGTGATAAAAAAAAGGGGGAGTTTGTATGAGATAATACATTGCTTTAACTTTTTATCACATGTAGATTGCTAGTTCTTCTTCTTTCTCAAAAGGTTTACCCAAAATGCAAGTGATTAGAAACTATACTGGAATTCCCCAGCCAGTTCCACCGGATGGTCCTCCATTACTCATCCAGATTGGAGACATCGTTGAACTCATCAAAGGAGATGCACACAGCTTATTTTGGCAGGTACAACACCATTTTATTAGCTCAATTTGCCTTTCTTAATCTAGCGTTTTCTCGCTGCATTATTCTTTATGTGTTTACATTTTAACTTCCAGTAGTCTTTTTTTTTCAAACCAAATACATATTCTATGGCATTTCTATATATATTATATGTATACATTGTAAATAAATACATCTTAATTGCTCCAGTGCTTTAGAACACAGTGCTTTTGGTTCAGTAGCATTGCAAACAGATCTTTGGAAAGTCAGCTGAAGGTAGAGTGGGATCTTCAAATTTATCTCTCTTTAAAAAAAATACATTTTAAAAGATTATAATTAAACCGCCACTCCTTTAACCTCAAACTATCCACTATTGACCCCACCCCAATCCTAAGAGGTCTGTAAGGGGCGTTCATAAGTGCACCATCGTGCCTCCCGTCCCTGTCCTATTGTCCCCATTTATTTGTACCTGTTTCCTGTATTCTTACTCATGTTTATACTTATACCTATTATTGTCTCCCCCAAGCACCCCCACACTCTTTATTTGGGACTTCATTCACTTAATGACCTGTGATTCTCACTTAACAACTGCAACAGGGAGTGGCAGAATTTCAATGGCTGAGCAAAGTAGTCACATGACATCTCATGTAATGTTTGCTTCCTTCAGTGATTGAGATTCCAGTTCAGTTGTGATCGTAAGTCAAGGACAACCTGTAATGATCTTTACATGTGTCATTCTTAGGCTTTGCTTTCTATTCTCTACATTTAACCAAAATATTAAATCAGATGTAGATCTACTGCTTTCAAGTCTGTACAGTATGCTCCTCTTGATTAATGAAAATGATACTAAACTGACTTAATTAACAATTCTAAATAAGTTTACCTCAGTGTTAAATTTCACTAAATGCAATAGATCTTGGCATACTAATAAATTTGTATTGGAGAGTAGAAAAATAACAAGGAAGAGCAGAAGCAAAAAATTGGATCCAGATTTATCTAGAGTGCTGTAAATACTTTTCATTATTCATAAAATTCTTATTTATTTTCTGATTATAGAAGATACTCTTACAAAGAATATGTGTACTTTTCTGAAGTTCCAAATCTGCATTAAAAAGGCAGTGTATAGAGTATTATGCAATATTAAAGAGAACTTGCAAAATTAGAATTGTATCAAAATTTATGCTAAACAGCTTGGCATCTCAGGGATTTATCCCTAGGGTTAAAAACACACCATTTAACTTTGTATAAGTTCAAAAGAAAAACAACAACATATATCTGTGATAAAACTCAGACTATACTTCAAAGGCCCAGTATTTTAATTGTTCTCTGAGTTCTGAAAGTTGTTTTAAAATTCAGTTTAAAGCACAAACTTCTACATTCCTCTCTCTCTCTCTCTCTTTTTTTAATAAAATCAATTTTCAAAATAATGTTTCTGCTTGTTTGAAATGCCCAGTATTGGTAAAACCAATAACCACCAATTAGAACCAAGACATGATAATGGAGGATAGATTTGAGCTAGTCTTAATGGACACGCACACTATTTTTACATAGAGGGACACACATAGTTCATATGTATGTTGGGTAATTGACAGCAATGTCCTGGGAAACATTCATGGAGGAACTGGATCCTTGTGGGTTGCCTGTGAGAGTTGAAACATTGTGTTATGGCAGTTCCACTCTTTTCTAAGGGCATGAGTCCACTTTAGGGAAGAAAAATAGGGCAGTGGGCACTCCTGAGCCTCTTCTTTTTTCTATCAGTTGAGCAAATCGTTATGAAATGAGGTATCTAATTTGCTGATAGTACTCAGCTATATGGGGCATGTGATGAAAGTCCTGCCCTGATGTCTGGAAGCTGTCAGAGTTAAATGGGAAAGAACATCCTCAAAATCACCCCAAGCAAGATGGAGTGGCGCTTAACTCAGACGCTTACTAATTCTGGGATTTTTTCCAACTTTGTATCTGGGTGGGGTTGTGTTCTTCCTGAAAGAGCAGGCCTGGAGCTGCTTCTGGATTAATAGTGTCATAGTCAAAATGATCTTTGTCAAGCTTTGGCTGGACTGTCAAGCTCAGTCGTTCATGCTCTTTTTGCCTCCTATACGGATTACTCAAATTAATTGTCCTTAAAGATCACTTTTTGCAAAAGGTAGCTACTAATGTGCTCACTGGACAGACTTGTTATTGCCATTTGACATCACTGCTGCACAATCTGGTTAACTCTTGAGTGCAAAGTCCTAGTTATCATTTATAAAGCAAAACATGGCTTAGGACTTGGTGTCTTTGACATTGCCTATCTTGGATTTTGTCCTGAAAACGTGGGCAATTCAGTGTACTGGAGGATTTTTCAATGTACTTTTCTGGTGTGTGGCTTCTTGTTCGTATGTGAATTTTCCTTTATTGAGAAGGAAAATTCTCCAGGATTTGGTCTGTTTGTAATATTTTTCTGTCTAATTTTGTTTGTGGGAGGGGACAGGAAGTTGTCTTAAATTCAGAGATACCTGTTCTGGTTAATTCAGTAAGCAACACTGTATATTCTACCCATGTTAGACTGCATTAACCAAGAAAGACACACTGAGTTTTTTTTTCCAAGCAGTTTCCTTTATTGTTTCTCATCTGTAGACAGAAATCTTGCCAAACTAAAGCAAATTACACGCACCATTAAAGATTTACTCTGATAACTTTTAGGGAGGAGCTGTCTTGTTCCTCTTCCTCTCAACCAAACTATCTAAACCTTGCTGTCTTTTCATCTTCTGGAATAAAGCCCCTCCTCCTGAGAATTCAGATTACATTCCACCATAGCCCATTCTACATGGTGCAATCCATCATAGTGCTGAATCAATTGAAGTTTCTGGAATAGAAGAATACAAAGAGTGCATTGTATTAGTCCATCTGGACATTCCTAGTATGCCATGATCTTGAGCTCATTTTATTTCAGGAAGGTATGAAGTTGACATATTACCATAACTGATAAGACAGACTCCTGGATATTGCCTCGATGGACACCCTGAAAGAGATGTTATCTTTTGCTTCAAGGAGCAACTTTTCTTAAGCAATATCTAAACTCTGCTTTAGAGACAGGAAAGCATCCTCTAAAAATGTGCTTCCTATTTCAAGATTTCCAGGCAATCAGTCCAGTATAAAAAGCCACCAAGAAGATAGGAAGAATTACAAAAAAATTGTACTCTCGCTTCATCTCTAAAGAGTGATTGTCCAGATAATTTCCACCCTGTAGTTTATTTACAGTATAAGACAGCTTGGAAGGAAGGAAGAAAATAATTCTCGTAATGAAAAACCATCACTGGTTTAATTTCTTTATGCAATTGCAGAAGGATGGAAATTGGCCTATACAGCAATTGTCCATTTCTGGGGAATCTAAAGCAGACATCCTATAATCTCTTTTAAATAGGGGACATGTTTTGTTTTCCCCGAGAGAGGATTGTTACTTTTTAAACTAAGTTACTTTAATTATCTCCCATCTGAAACTTGTGACTCAGATTGAGTAAAAATCAAGAGAACTAATGATGAAATTTATCACTCCAAGTAATCTATCTGCATGCTCTGGCATCACATTCTGAAATTGATCCAGTCACTAACGATAACAAGAGAAGCCAATGCAATCATTGTTACAAATAGGCTGCTAATCTTTGAAAGTCCAAGACATCCGGGAATACAACAGCAGTATCTTTCCCTGCTCAAGGATCTTCTAAGCTTGATGTTATTGCTTGTAGGATTTCCATATCAGCAATGCTTCTTCCACTGAGTCTACAAATGGGTGACCATATATAGTGTTAGAAGCATCAAGGAGCAGAAGTTTCATTTTGAGAGCTACAAGTGGACACCTACCCAGGTGGCATGGATTGGACATAAACTGATTTATTCATCCTTAACCAGATATTACTCAAAAATAGACATAAAGTAGATGTCAAACCAATGTAAATTTTATAATTTTATCCCTACAGTAAGAAAGCCTCAACCTTCAGAGTTTCTATATTAGCTATTAGTCATTCTAATCTAAGCAGGTATTGAACATGAATGAATTATTCAGCAACATTTGGCAAATCATAATGTGCAAGTTTAAATTGCTCTGAATATAGATGGCATTTGTATATATTTATTTTTTTTCTGTTGTCTCTCTGTAGGGTAGAAATTTAATGACCCAGGAGCTTGGTTTCTTTCCAAGTGATGCAGTAAAACCTTGCCCATGTGTAAGTAGCACTATATAATTATGTTTGTCAGAATGATTGCTTTTACAAAAAGGTCTACAGCTAATTTGCCTGCTTCTTGCTAAGTTTTTTAAAATTAATTTTTCATGATGCAATAACATATACTTTGTGTGGTGGTGTTGGGGGAGATTGCATGCAGTCTTAATTTTATTTAAAGAGACAATTTTGTGTTGTGGGTTACTAGATTTCAAAGTAAAAATTTGAAGGAAATCAGCTTAAAATGGGTTTATCTGGTGAGGATTTAACTAGCAAATCTGTTCAATTTTCAAACACATATACACACACAGCCAGTTTGGTGTAGCGGCATCAGGTTAGAAACCAAGACATTGGGAGTTCTAGTCCTGCCTTTGCCCCAAAGCTAGCTGGGTGACTTTGGGCCAGTCACTTTCTCTCAGGCCTAGGAAGAAGGCAGTGGCAAACTACTTGTGGAAACCTAACCCCAAAAAATGCAAGGATTTGTGCAGGCAGTCTTCAAGGATTGAACACACTTGAATGGAAGAATACACAGAGGGAGAGACAGACAGACAGACAGAGACAGAGACAGACAGACAGACTGACAGACAGACAGACAGACAGAGACAGACAGACACACACACAGAGACAGAGACAGAGAGTTAGAGTGGTTACTGACCACTCATTCAGTAACCACTCATTCAGTGAGTGGTTACCAACTACTCATTCAGTGACTGTATGAAATTGTGAAGGTGTTGAATGCATGGTACTTACAACTGATCCTTAAAGTTCCAGTTGTAACAACACTCCCGTGATTGTGAACTTGGCGTTTGACAACCAATGACTCTCACTGGCGACAGTAGAGCCTGGAAGTATGCAACTCTAGCTGTTTTCCAGTCTTGTACCATCCTATCTGGTCACATCCAATGGTGATCACTATATTTCTTCATCCTTCTCCTGCAACTTTCACAGAGGTATCAAACATATGACTCAACCCCTGTCAATGTCTCTGTCACTAAGCATTATGGTGCATCTCAGATGGAATTTTTCTTTCAGACTAGAATCAAATCTCCTAATGTCCAGTTATGTCTTCCTTTGTTCCATTCAGTCTCTTATTCATTGATTGTCTCTATGCTTTCCATTTCACTGCAATCTCTCTGTCATCCTTATTTAGACATTATTTTCATAGTTACCCCTACCAATCTTTTCTTCCTAACTCCTTTTTTCAGTTACCACAAACGATTCACTCTTCCCCATTGTACAATCCTGCTGCAACATACAGTAACTAAAATTAATACTGGCTAAATTAATTAACTCCATATTTAATTCAGGTGTAATTATACATTGAGGTGCAGAGATATTAGTGAAATTATTCTATTTTTTCAAGGAAGAAGTTTAGTTGTAAAATTGCAAGAATTCAAATATGAATAAACGTCAGAAGCGTGGTGTTACTAAAAAGATAAATTGATGTTTTACCACTGTTCCCTTACAAGTGGCAAGCATTGCCATTCCATTTTGACAAATGATAACATTTGGAAGATTCTGAAACATCCATCACATCTTCAAGGCACCATCACTGTTACTATTATTATTAAGTAACAACGCTTATATCTAATCCATAGAGAAATGCCCAGAAACAGCACAAAATACATACATCAGAAGGCACAAACAATAAATATTAAATGAAAAATGGATGAGAGCCTAGAATATCTACAGCATATGGTGCGTTCTGAGATAAAACTGATAGGCATTTTTCTGTCAGTGGTTTGATATATGTGGCAGCAAGACATTTTCATATTGTATGAAAGTGGCTCATATTTACTCGCTTTTGTTCTGTTTTTTATTGTTGTTAATAAGCATACGAAGTCTGTTATTGTTCATTTTCACACAAGGCTTTTGCTGGTAGATGAATCCTGAGGTAGAAATGATTTCATATATTATAGTTCAGGAGCTTGTCCTGTGGCCTGATCAAAATATTTTTATTTATTATTTTATTGATTGATTTTTTTTACATTTTTGAATTGTCCACTTCTCTCTTTATATATGTTACAACTATACCACTATACCACTATTCCTGAGGTAACATGACTGGAGGAGGAATTCTGGGAGTTGAAGTCCACAAATCTTAAAGCTGTCAAGTTTGAAGACCTCTGCACTATACCTTCCATAATCCTTAACAAGGGCATGAATAAGATCAATTGGGATTATGAGTTGTAGCCATAACAATTGTTGCCTGATGGGAGACCTGTGGGGTGGAGGGCAGGTGGCAAGACAAAGAGGAATCATGGAGGCTGGAAGTGAAGACTCTTTCTTTTCAGTTCCAACACCTCTCATTCTATAACAGCTCATTCTGTTCCATTCACAAGAAGCTTTAGAGTTAGGCCTTGTATCCTGTTCAAATGCTTAGGTCTCTTTGAGTAATCCATTAATTTCCTCTTGGCCCCATTGAAGCACTTCTCAGGAGCCATACAGAAAAGACTTACTGAGCATATGTAACTCTCACACCATGCCTGGAGCTTTTCAGATGTAGGTGTCACCACATTCTTGGTGGGAAACTGCTAGATAGGATCAACAATATGCAGAAAATATTAGCTCTTTGCTCTCATCTAATGATCATGCAGCCCTGCTGAAAGCCCTATTTGTGTATGTTTTCTTTATTTCAATTCTATGATGGAAACTAACCCTACAGATCTCCTTGAACAGGACTGGGGCTGCGACCCGTGGCTTGGTCAGCTTGATGAAACCTCTTTCTAGGTTTTTGTCTATATATTTGCACATTTCTTACATTTCACAAGGCATCATGGCGTACATTTTGGGCTTTGGTAATTTTGCCTCAGGGATGATTTCTATGGTGCAGTCTTTTCACGGTGGGGAGGTAGGATGTCACACTCAGTCTCACTGAATACTTCAGCGAGGTCCTGATATTCTCTTGGGATCTGTCTGGCCCCTGGGGTTTTGTCAGAGGTGGCTGCCAGTTGCTCTGGTAAACTCTCAGAGGGGGTTCCCTGCATTAGCGGTACTTCTATTCGATGGTGAGGAAGAGGTTGAGGTCCCTTTGCTATCCTCAATCTGTGGCTGCCCCCCTGCCCCCAGATGGTTGGGCCCCAGTTGTCTAGCCAGGAAAGTCCCAGTATGACTGCATCTGTCATTTGGGAGCCACTATGAATCAAATTGTCTCCCAGTGCTCCGCTAGCTCTAGTCTCACTGGTTCGGTTAAGTGAGTGGCATAGGCTCCTCCCAGCAGGGAGCAATCTACTTGTTCAATGCACTAGTTTACAGATTCCAAAACTTTTCAGTGGGGTTGCCTGTAATTCCTTTTACTTTCCACTTGGGAATTTATTTATGTTCAGAATTGGGCTATGATGTAGAAACCCAGAGATACTAAGATCACTCTTATGAAGCTGAGCAAATCTTCAGCATGCTATAGCTGTCCATGTGAGGCAGAATTGATTTTATCCGCACTGATTATATACTTCTGTGTAGGTTTTGCAGTTGTTGGATGACTTGCTTACAGGTTAAGGATGTGCAAAGTGTTTTGGATTTGAACCATCCCATTTTGAGTGCAAAACCTGTCTTTCAAGTGTGAATTGGATTACTCTTGAGTATTTGGAGAAGTGTCTCAAATTCAAAATGGCTGTTTTGAGGTGTGAAATTCTTGTTTCAAGGTTCAGGGCTCAGAACAACTGTTTCACAATTGGAACATTTTTCCCTTTGCTTGTAAGGTAGAAATTCAGTTAAAATTAAGTTACATTTTTTTTTGAACATCTTTAGATATACAAGCATTTTGTAATAAGAAAGGGAAATAGGCTAAAAATATACTCTGGAAATAGAGCTAGCTGATAGAGGCATTAAATCTTCTCTCCTAGCAGGAAAAAGAATGGCTGAAACTGAAAATATGAATATTTGTATTATATAGATAGCAATAAATAACTGCAATAATAAGATATTTCCCATTAAATTATCCTGGTTAAAACTAGCATTGCAGAGCTGGGAAAGGGGGACATTTTAGCACTTGTGGGTGGTTACTACCCAAAATCAATATGATGAGGTTTGACACATACAAATTTGGGTATAGCTACGATGTCAGTTTATGATTACCCACAGGATTTTTTAATCAGTCAAATAAAAACAAATCTCAAATAGATATTTTGGGATTGTTACGTCCAGAAGGCATTACAGGTAGTCCTTGACTTACTACCACAATTGAGCTCAAAATTTATGTTGCTAAGTTGGACGTTGTTAAGTGAATTTTGCCCCATTTTACAACCTTTCATGCCATAGTTGTTAAGTTAGTAACTTGGTTGTTAAGTGAATCTGGCTTCCTCATTGACTTTCCTTGTCAGAAGGTCACAAAATGTGATCACATAACCCCGGGACACTGCAACCATCATAAATATGAATCCATTGCCAAACATACCAATTTTGATCATGTGATCCCGGGGATACTGCAACGATAGTGTGAAAAATGGTCATAAGTCACTGTTTTCAGTGCTGTTGCAACTTTGAACAGTCACTAAATGAACGGTTGTAAGTTGAGGATTACCTGTATTTGGTAGAGTTATCATTAAATAGTTCTGTTTTCCAAGCACCAGTGAATTGGGAAAGATAAAAGTTTGGTCAGTCAGTCAGGTTTGTTTTGGTTACTGACAAGAAAAACAATTATCTAGGGGAAAATAGTCACTTTTAACTATCCGTATGGCTTAGAAGTCAACTAAATAAAACAACGTATAAAATTATATAAGAATACACGTAAAATTGTTTGTTTTCATTAAAGAATTTTGGCCATAAAATTCTGGCCAAATAAGGCATTATACAATTTAATATAAAATAGTTAAATTATTGTCTGGAATAATAGAATAATAAAATTATCATCATAAAGTATAGAACCATATAAACTAAAATCCCTGGAAAAATTGCAATTAATATTATAGTATATCTAGAAAAATGCAGTGATGTTGCATGAAAAGATAAATGTTTAAAAATAAGAGGATAATCGAAGCAATAATAAAATATTGATTTGTTCAATGAAATAATAATACACAATGTAATTGTTTAATAACTAGTCTTGATAGGGCTCAAATGTGCTTAATTGTACTTTTTTTAGTTCATCTCTTTGAAATGTAAAATCTAGCTGATGAACTTCGTATGCACATACAGTAAATATTTAGACTGAAAATAGGCATTAAAAAAGTACATGACTGCTTTTGAAAACAGCAGCAATATTTTTCTTGCCCTCTTGTTCTCTGTAGATGTGGAAAATATATATTTTATTATTCCTGCTTTGCTTGATTCTGTCTGTAACACTATAGAATGAAAAATCAGTATATCTGAAAAGAAAATAGTAGACAGGTGATCCTGTATTTGGTGTGTAAACTTAAATTTGCTATAAAATCTTGCTCTTTTGCTTGGATGCTTAATTTACTTTGGTACAAATTTTAGTATATGGGCATTTGATGGTGAATTTAATTCAAATCTAAGTAAAAAAACTTCTATAATAAATCTTTATATTAACTGATATAGCTAGAATTGCATCATGTCACCTAAACATAATTTTTAAAAACTTGATTGTATAAACTGAAATATTGAGCAACAGTGCCACAAATAATGCAAAGTTGAAATGTATTTGAATATAAGTAGCTCAGGTTGAGAGTTGGTTTGTTGGTCTGAGCTCTGAGCTTGGCAATTTGGTTGGAAACATGTCATCACCATTTGAGGAGACATTATCAGCGCGCTTTGAATTGTGCTCGTCTGACAGAGCAGTGGTCTTTAAATATCTTTTTATGTGATGCAAATGAGAGTGGATGTTGTTTGTTTAGCTACTTCTGAGTCATGGTCTGACTTGGGACCGTTTGATTGGCTGCCAAGCTCTGAGCTCAGACCAACAGCCCATAATGCAGAGTATCTAATTTAATCATTTTCTGACAATGGGTAAAAATCATTGAGATGTACATTTATTCTTTTACATATTTAATGGTATTTTATTGTATTGGGTTTTTTTTGCAATTCATTTTATTACATTCAATTGTATTTGTTTTAATATGTTTATCGTTATTTTAGGTCCCTAAACCAGTAGACTATTCTTCTCAGCCATGGTAGGTAGCTATAAATTGTTATGTTTTTATTTTGGGCAGAGCTAGGAATTCAAATAAATAGCTTGAGAGAAAAATGATATTAATAGAAATCTAATTTGTTGTGGTTTAACCTTTCTGATCTTCTATGGAATGCATCTAGTTGTAATATAAGCAAAAATAATTGAGTGTATATACTGCATAACTGTATTTTTGCATGGATAAATCTGGTTTGCAACCAATTTTGTATCTCTGGGAAATGATATAATATAAGAAGCTCTGGCTACTCCTTCAAAGCCTACCAACTTTGCATTTGAATGAGTTTTCACCCAGTCATGATCTCTATCCTCCCAAATTCAAGTCTAGCAATTCCAGCCATTCCCTTATCCTGAAGAATAATCCTTTCATAGCGATGTCCATGATACCAGTTTCTAATTGAGGAGAGCAAGAAACAATCACATACCGTTGGACCCATACATACAATTTACATTATTTTCCTAAGAAATTATATCCCCTTGAATTGCCTGATTTTTTTTGAGAGCTTCAACAGGGCTGACCACAGTGATGAGAATAAAATATGGATACGTGATGCATGCCAGCACATAATATAATATTTTGTCAAGATCTGTTGACATTTCCTGTGCTTTCCAGATGCGGGATTCATTTACGCTCCCAAAGACTTAAATTGAATTGAATTAAATTAATTTAATTTTTGAGGAACAGGTAATTCTGGTACAATGGTGTCACTGTTTTGGGTACATTGATTAGAAAGAGAAAGCTAGAAAAATTATTCATACTCATAGGAGACTGATAGGAAGAAGACTCAAAAAGCACCTCACAAGCCATTAATCAGTTATCACTGTGATATGCCTTGGGGAATTTAAGGTAGACGAAGGTTTTGTTCATACAAAAAAATACAGCAATGTAACATTTCAGTTGTACAAATATCAGAACACCATTCTCATCATGGAAACTAAGTACCAGTGTCTTCAAATTGGCAAAAAAAAAGAAGAGTTCCATGCACAGATTACATTCTGTGGCTCTCACAGAATTTCTGTATTTTGCAATTGGTTGAATGTATCTGCAGGTCAAGAAGTATAGTTAGTGATGCTGAACTGTATTACAGTGAATGCCATAGCCAGCAAAATGGGAGATTGATTTTTTTTTTTTTTTTGCTTATGAGATACCCATTCTATTCTGGGCATATCTGCCCATGATAGTTGCATATGATTCTCGCCACCAAACATGGCCTAATTGAAAGATTACATTTGAGTTTGAAACTGCAAAACAAAATACAGAAAATATAATAAAATAAAATTCACTTTATTTCAGGTACGCCGGAAAAATGGAAAGATTACAAGCAGAAGCAGAACTTATTAACCGGGTAAACAGCACTTACTTAGTGCGGTATAGGACTAAAGAATCAGGAGAATATGCCATTAGCATTAAGTAAGTGAATTATGTGTTTCTTTATATTGTTCATGCAATTGATAGGTCAATATTCAATATGGATTTTTAAAATAAGGTTATGCTAGTTACATTCATTTGTTAAAAAATATTACAGAAACCTTGATGGGGTTGAAATGGGTAGTTTTGCCTTTGCTTCAGTGGTGGGATTCAAATTTTTTTTACTACCGGTTCTGTGGGCATGGCTTGGTGTCCGTGGCTTGGTGGGCATGGCAGGGGAAGGACACTGCAAAAACTCCATTCCCTCCCAACTCCTGGGGGAAGGTTACTGCAAAATTCCATTCCCTCCCCACCCCACTAACCTGCTTTTCAACTCTGTTCTCCTGTGTAGAGCAACGAAAGAAGACCCAGCTGATCAGCTGGGACTTAGGAGGCAGAAAAGAGATGGGAGTGGGGCCAGTCAGAGGTGGTATTTGCCAGTTCTCCGAACTACTCAAAATTTCCACTAGCGGTTCTCCAGAACTGGACAGAACCTGCTGAATACCATCTCTGCTCTGCTTCCCTGCTGAACTTCTTTGAAAATTAGTATCCCTAACCACTATTATTCTATTATTTTGTTATTCTGAAGTTGTTGCTGCTCTACCTTCCCTTCAACAAAGCCTTGACTCCTGGCAGCTATATGGAGCAAATTGAAGTTTTCTTGGTAGGATTTTTGGAAGTAGTTTGGCTTTGGTTGCTTCTTCCTACAGCTTTGAGAAAGTGACCAGGCCATAGTTACTGAGTTGGTTTCTCTGCCTGTGTTTCTGTGCAGGACTAGAATACACTTTTTTTTAACCCAGTGCCTTAACCACCATACCACACTGGCTCTCTGGAATCTTACAATTATGCTTAAGGAAGAGCAAAGTCACAAAAGTTCTTACACCCAATCTTTCCGTGGCCATGTTTGGGGGTTAGGATTTAGGGATTAGGGTAGGGGTGTCAAACTGGCACCCTGCAGGCCGAATGCATCATGTTCAGGCCATGCCCAGCCCAGCTTCACAAAGGGGAAAACGTGAAACGTTTTTATTACCTTCTGAAAGTAAACTTTTCAGTTGGGATGAATGACACCATAATGGTTCTGTGACTTGGAACACAAAGATTTTATGATAGCTAGTAAAGAGTGATTTAAAGGTCTATTTGCATTTTAACTAGAATTTTTTTTCAGAATTGATCAAGCTATCAACTGAAGCCAAACAGAATTTTTCCCTTGAATTGAGTGGGAACAAGGAGATCACACCGAAGGAATAATAATTTTTTGAAAAGCTGTTTGTCAGTATGAATTTGAATGCAATCAGCTTGGTGGGATCCAATAATTAGATATTGCTGGGAGGCTTTTTCTTAAATCTGAATGTAGGCGGGTGTGTTAAACTGGACCCTAATAAATGTCTTTTGTTAATTAGGTGTCAGCAGTGTATTGGCATGGATATGTGTTTTGTCTTAAGAATTTATTCATGGAGAGTTTGGGCATGTTGTCAAGTAATTATTGATTTTTCCAGATTGAAAACACATTTATATTCATAAGTTATTCATTGTCTATAGGTACAATAATGAAGTGAAGCATATCAAGATTTTCACAAGAGAAAGTTTTTTTCACATTGCAGAAAATAGGAAATTTAGAAGTTTAATGGTAAGTATAAGTTTTTATTTTGTTTTCCTGTTTCCAAAAATACTTTAATTGGACATTATCTTAATTGGACATTACAGTTGGCATATCTAGCTTAATGTTACTACTATAAGACCTGTGCTGGCGCAGTGGTTAGAGTGCGGTATTGCTGGCTAACATTGGCAGGAGTTCAATTCCCTCAATCCTGACTGACTCAAGGTTGACTCAGCCTTCCATCTTTCCAAGATTGGTAAAATTAGAATCCAGGTTGTTGGGGGGTAATAGGCTGACTCTGTAAACCTCTTTGAGAGGGCTGTAAAACACTGTGAAGTGGTATATAAGTCTAAGTGCTTTTGCTTTTGCTGTTCTTATAATAATAAGAACTATTTAGTTTTATTTGCCTTTTCTTTCTTTCTTTTTTGACAAATCTAGTTTGTCAAAAAAGAAAGAAAAAGCAAATAAAACTAAATAGTTATTATTATTCATGGCAAACGCTTTGAGGGTTGAGGCTTTCAGTGAACTGATTAGTTTTTAACGCATAATAACAACAGTTGCACTTGCTGTCATTGGAAATAGGTGATTAATAAATGAATCTATCTCCCAACATCTGTAAAGTTGTCAAAAACAACAACAGCAAAAACTCTGAGCAGCCATACATATGAAAAAAGACAATGTTGATTATTGTTTGAAAGAGAAAGGGTCATGATTTAGCATGTATTAAAAAGGTTCCGTTTCATTTGGCTTATTTACATTAAAATTGCAAGAGGGAATACTCTGATAGAGATATTGTATATTTGCTTGTGGTTTTACAGTAATGAAGATTGTGATAACTTTCATGCTAAGAAGGAAGTACACATTATTCCCACTTTATTTTTATTTACTAGTATTTGAAATGGAAACTTAAGGATAGGAAGTGTGAATCCTGTATGCTTTTAGTTTACTGGAAGATTAGCAGTAACTTTTTGAAGTAGTCCTAAGCCACAACTATCATTCAAGAATGGTCTAATTATGCAATGTTTATATTTCATAAATAATATTTTTATGTCAACTGATTTAGTCTCAACTTAGCCTATCCAAGCGATTATAGCTTCCAAGACTTAAACATGTTTGATTAGCAGGACTATAGTGAATGAATTGGCGATGAATAGCAGTTTATACTAATATGTTATCTTATATTTTTACTTTGGAAAGAAATTGCTGTGGTTTGAAACAGCAAAATAAATGAGTTGCTTTTGCTTTGATCTTTTTGCAAGATTTCATAATCTCTGTGTTGGTCAGTATAGATTTCTTTAGATAATTATCATTTGGAGTTGGGGGTGAGGAACAGATGGACCAGAAACATAGTCTACTTGAAGGATTTCAGGGGTTTTGTGAAATATATGTCTTGCATTATTTCTAGATCGTTTATCTGTAGTGTTGGTATTCCCCTGTTGTCATTTAAATGACCATTTATTCTGAGTTAATTTCATTATACCAAGATCTATTGATTCCAACTGAATTAGAATGTTAGAAGAGTAAGAGTTAGCATTTGTATAGTTATTTGTAAAATAATTCATTGTTTAAAAAGTGCAAGACTTGCATTATCGTTGTAGAAAGACTAAGCAAATGCTAAATATGTTTTACAATCTTACCTGTACATGCTTACTCTGAAAAAGTCTTGCTAGAGATCAATGGAACATATATATGTAAAATATAAAGGGCCATTGAAGTGAAGGAGGTTTAAAATAAGCCCAGAAGGTACTGTAACTTTTCTAAATCCTGCGGGTAGGTTACTGTTTTGAGTAAACATCGTCTTTTTACATATTTATATTTACTTATTTAATTAATTTGGATACTGTATAACTTCCAGTGATTTTAATTTTTACTAAATCAGGAAAAAATAACCCAACACACAGACCTGCAACATCAGACACAGCTATCAGAAGGGTGAGGAACAGATTATCTGGTTCCACCAGAGAATGAGGCCTTCGCAGAATACAAAAACTGCTGTCTGAAAATTGGTATAATATTAATATCAATCTATATTATTACATTTTTTATCACACCTTCTTCCAAGATGATTGATTTTATTTTATTTTCCTTTATGACAATCCTGCAGGCTAGGTTAGGGCAAGAGACATTGATTCCCTTAGTAAGCTTCATAGCTGAAGATCTCGGTATTTTGCAGGTTTGAAGTTTTATACTGAGGCACTGAGTCAAATACTTTCAAAAGGTAATTTAGGATTATGATTATTATGTAGTTCCAGTAAACTATTCCAAACCCATCTGTTTCAGAGAGAAGACATCTGGTCCAAATTTTCTTTTGTGTGCTGAAGCCTTGAGCCATGTGCATTATAATTCAGATAACACATTAGACTCTCTGTGTATGTTCTGATATAACTCTTGAAAGTACGTTGTATATTTTTTTAAAAGCTTCACGATCTTGATACTCATGCCATCTGATGAAATACAAAGAATGTCTTCTCACAGGCCATTGACTTGGCAAGCCACAGCTACTGTTTACTAGGACCATGCCAGAGGCATGCCATTATCTGATAGCTGTGGTGTAGCTGCAGTCTTTTCTCTAAGGATTTCTACTATACAAAAGCAAACAAATAGAGAGAAGCAATAGTGGCTGGTTCAGAGACATCTGACATATCTATCCAGAAATATTTGCAAGACCATTATTTGTGTATACTGTTATATGAGACATGCAGTCCTTTGACAAGGAAAACTCGTTTCTTTTATCACTGAAATTTACTCTCAGGTTATTGAATCAGAAAAACGAGTATCAAACACTGCTATTGCTTCGTCTATCAAGAAATTGTATCAATCTGAGCTTTTGCACCATTTACTTTGTATTTTTCCGACTGATTGCAGAAAATATACCTTGCAGTAAGAAATGTACTGTTGCACACATAGCAATAAAGGGAAAACCTGAACATAAACATTATGTTAGGAAAGGGCTGTGACCTTTCCACATAGAGATGGGATCAGCAATAGCAGGAGATTTATCACACCTTTGAGGGCTATATATTTCATGTATTCACATGTAACAGAAGACCAACGCTTCAAAACTAGAAGCAATAAATGCCACCAAGCCAAACCTAAATATATTGAATCCCATTGATCCCAAGGACCATTGAATATCTGCCACTTGAAATTCATGAAATCTAAATGTTTAGCTTTGATGCAGTTGTGACAATTAATCACTCTCGTATTTGCCAGGGATAACTTTTTTTCTCTCTTTTGAATCAATTTTTAATATAAATGGGGAAGCCTATATTAGCTGCAGGTTCATACATTTTCATTAAGCTATTAGCATGTAAGGAACTTAAAAAATGATTAGAAGTAAGCTTGTCAGGTCTGTTTTGAATGTTTTTGATGGTTGCGTATAAGCATCTATCTTCTGAAAGTTCTTTCCCACTTTTTAAGGTACTGATTGTGCTATCTTCAGGTTCATTTAAAAATAATCAAGAATAGAGGAACAAGAACCTAAATGAAACGTTTCAATCTGTTGGGAGTTACTGCTTCTTCTTCATATGCTCATTCTTACAGCCACTGATTTAAAGATGATTTAAAACATATTCTCAAAATACACATTTCTAATCATATTTTCGCTCACAGCAGTTTATACTACAGTTTGGTCATCTCTTTAAGAGAAATGAGCTATATTAGTTGAGTTTATTATTATTATAGTCCTAAATTGGTCTGCATGTAAATATACAGTACATCCAAAGTGTTCACAAAGAAGAGTTTAAAGGATTTTTTTTTTTAAATAAAAAAGCTAAATTACTTCAACCCAATGAGACACTGCTTCAAAAGCTGTCATCAATGAAACCCCTACTTGATACAGTGGTTAAAGTACAGTGTTGCAGGCAAACTCTGCCCACAGCCTGGAGTTTCCTCCTGATGAGGCACAAGGTTGACTCGGCCTTCTAGCCTTCCGAGGTTGATAAGATGAGAGCCCAGATTTCTTGGGGGGAGGGATATGTTGAGGATTGCAAACTGTCCAGAGAGTATTGTATATGCTAAATGCTATTACTATTGCTACTTTCAAAGTGGTTATGCATATATGCTTGTGGAGACAGCTGGAGATGGCTTTTAAAGCAGCCATGTGAGTCCTGGAAGTGTGCATCAGTTTTAATAAATTGAACAGAAATGACTGATTGTGAATATGGGTTGTGAAACAATCTTTTCTGAATGATTTGTTACAACTTCAGTGATATCCATCTGTCGGTCTGTCATTGTCATTCATTCATTCATTCTAGGATAATCAAGTGTACTCAAAATGTGAAATTAGGTTTTCTGGTTTAACAATGCATGAGCCAACATGCATTGTTAATTATCACATTATCACAACATTAATGAAGTATAAAATGTGTGGATTACTAGTTCTGATCCATATATGGTGTATTCAGATCAGCTTACATAACAGTGAAAAGAAGCAACAGGATTGGTTAGGTATCCTTGCCATGTAGCTAAACGAATGAAGATAAATACTAAATATTAACATACATCTCCTTTGAGTCCTGCATTTGGCTCATGCATTGTTAAAGCAGAAAACCTAATTTCATATTTTGAGTTGATGAATATATGTGGAAAAGGACATTTGATCCTGTATGTACTGGAGAAATTTGCAGTGAATATTGTTCTGGTCAAACATGAGCTTCAACACAGTTATTCATGTTTTTAGCTCTTTCCCAGTGGTTGCCATTGCTCCCAAGTAGATTTGGGTTTTTTTTGCAAGTCAATTCAGAGTGATTTTCTTTCTGGTACAAAACAATTAATAAACATGTATGGGCAAAATACTTCATATAGGTGTTATAATGAATAACCAGGAAAACAACAGTAAGTATAAGAAAATCCAAACACTAATTAATGTAAGCATTATGTAATGTAATAAATTTAGGTTGGAACTATGGTCCACATGAATGAAGGATGCCATTGATTCACAGAAGTGTATACTTCTATACATGTAGAAAACCAGACACAGGAAGAACAATTCCATTTTAATCCATTCAAAATTTAATTACTTTTATGTGCAGTTTTTTCAGTGTAAAAAGTTTTTAAAGCTGATACTTGCTAATACTCATTTAATTCATACAGCATCTTTGATAAGAATTAGAATAGAATAGAATAGAATAGAATAGAATAGAATAGAATAGAATAGAATAGAATA